TTTGAGTAGGTAAGTTATACCATAAGAAATATACATACACCTAATCTTAGGCGGGAAATTTGCCCGGAAAGGCAAGTTATTTCCAACCTTGTTTGTGTTGATTCAAACGGAGTAAAAAATCTACTTACAGCTACGCAATTTCGCGTTCTAAATTCAAACATTTTCGTTGAAATATTTCGGCGTTCATCAGTAAATGTTCATGATTCAAGTTGCTTTTTTCAAAATGTACTTGTTAAGCGTTATTAAGCTTGAGATGTGTTCTGAAATGCAGAATATGAGACGTAAAATATTTCCAAACAATCTTCATAATTTTTACAACCATACATATACTGACAACATATTCGTAAAGATGCTTCAAAGAGATTTCTAAATAAAAAGCAGTGTAATGTATGTTTAACGAACATGAACATTCTTGATCGAAGCATTTTATTGTCACTTGAATATGAATGAATATTAGGTACATAAGAAATGCCCAGGCTGTAACATTTGACATAAGCATATGCCTGAGTAGTATTTAAGTATTAAAGTATTTACTCGTGTATAAAATTTTGTCACTTATAAATATATATAAATAACTAGCGACCCGCCCCGGCTTCGCACGGGTGCAATTCGGCACCGCTATGTCCTTGCATTTTAAATCTGTAATATCTTTGGAAATATTCATTTAAATTACATGCTGTAAATATAATACAATGTATTTAAGGTACTTAATTGGATAATAATTAATGCTGTATTGCTTAAAATCACTTCGTAAATAAGCCATTTTACCCGTAAAATGTAAAGAATAAAAAATGGTTATTGTGGGTTATTTTTAAGAGATAGACATATACCATCGAGGACTTTTTTGTTGACCTTCTTAAGATGTATAATACTGTAGATACATTATTATATTATTTTAGATACATTATTTTGATTTATCTCGTGGGGTTCAGCCAGCGTTTACAATGTAAGCGCAAAAAATGTGTTTATTTACGACATCACATTAGAAACCTCTAAATTTATCAGTATTTCTCTACAATATTATGCATGCATTATACATATAAACCTTCCTCTTGAATCACACTATTTATTAAAAAAAAAAACCGCTTCAAAATCCGTATGTAGTTTTAAAGATTTAAGCATACATAGGGACGGACAGACAGCAACAGCGACTTAGTTTTATACTATGTAGTGATAGGGATATCTTAAAATTGATTAGGATGATGTAAAGGTTTAAATCACTAGCTAGCCTCTAGCCGCTAGCTTGTCGCCTTATATTATATTTGGCGCATATTGCATTATACCTGCTACTTGCATTGAATAACTTTTTTCCACGAATCTTCTGATTTACCACGAATTTAAAGCTGTAAACTACATATGCAAGATATGTACACCTACAAGTTTTATTTTAAGCAGTTATTTGTGAAAAATTAGCCGGTAATTGGTCCCTATTCATAAGTGGTTATGGATGCGTGTATTATCCATTCAATATAAGTTGTTGGTATGTATGTAGACAGGTTATTGTCTTATGTGTTGTTTGAGGATACAAGATAAATTCACACAAGTTGGAGAATTGTTGGCTGTTGAGGTTGAGTTGAGACATACATTGCATTGCAATGCATTGTAGTTATGTGTGGAATTCAACGAATAATTTCACTGGAATTATCTAATGTGTCTACTATTTAATTTAGGGCACATTAAGTAGTTTAATTCTCGTTAAATACATATAAAAAATTATAAAATTTATTTGTAATTTTGCTGCTTTTTTATTGAGTTGAGAAGAAAGAAAAATAATATTAGTACATAATAGAGTAGATCTTACTGTTAGTTAGAATTATTTAATTAATTATCGAATTGATGTTAAAGGTTAATAATATTTTTTACAAATAAATTCCTTATTATATCGTAATCATCTATATTCTTCAAAATAGAGGTAGAGATTTCCTCAGGTTCGGCAGCGCACGCGTAATTCCTATGCAGGCGTTTATAGACTATGGTAGCCGCTTACTATCAGGTGGACCGTATGTTTATTTATCACTTTAGTGGTATTCCTTCAAGAAAAGAGCATATTCCTTTTTAAAAGATCGGTAGCACACCTGTAATGCCTTTAGTGTTGTGAGTGATCATTGGCGGCAGTATTCACTTACCATCAGGTAAGCAGCATGCTCGTTTGCTCCTTGTTTCATAAAAAAAATAAAAATAAAAAAAAAAAACAAAATATAAGCTAAAAAAAGCTTAAATCATAGGTGCTGACACAATTACGATAATCGCATAATATTTCAGCATTCGTTCTATTGTAAGTCTTAGCTTACTATATAATAGACAGAATCTGCTAAAATGAATTATATTTTTTGATTCAAGCACTGCTTACAAATAAAATTATTTGTAAGCATTGATTGAGAAAAATATTTTAATAGTTTTTATTTGATTATGGACGTTACTACACCAATATTAAATAAATAAAAGTTTTTTAGGGATTAAAATTTCCGGCCTAAGAGTAGTGCAATTTAAGTACCACTTGTACCAAGTGAATTTACAAGGTACAGAGGAATAACACCTGAGTCCTCAGAAATGGCAACGCATGGGGGGTATCATGGGTGACAATTGTGTCGCCCAGTACCATGGACATAACAGAGTATATTGATACTCTGTTATGTCCATGGTACTGCTCATGTCTATAGGCGACGGTTACCACTTTCAATCAGGTGGGCTGTTAGCTTGTTTGCCATTCTTAGTTGCATAAAAAAAACCTATTACAGACTGTTAATTAATTTATTATAACTACAAAGTATTGTATGATATTAAAATAGTAATACTAAGTATACATATGAAGATATTATAGTAATAGGCATCTAGTATTTGGCTCAAAATTATTCTTCTATTCTTGAAAGTATGAACGTCGAAGTGGAGTCGTAAATAATTCTCATTGTAGATAATATCAGAAAATCGACGGGACGTACCAGTATGATACTGGTACGTCCCGTCATACATACATATATTTTCATTCATACATACATATATTTTTATCACACCAACGTAATATATACGGCATGTACAAGTCTCCATTTTCCATATATTTTTTCTTTGTTATAAATAAGTCATACACCTATATTATGCATATTTTTTATTTATCTACATCAATAATTATTCTAGGTTATCGCAGCTGACTATGCTCTTTTTTTCTAGCTATATTGATACTGGCACATTGTGAACACCAAATGGAAATCGGAATGTGCCTATTAGATTATATAAAGCAATTTTTAGTCCTGGCAAACTTTGCTTTGTACCATACCGACTCCATTTTATCTTATCGTGATAAAAACTTATTTCTCAAGCTGGAGTAAACATTTAATGCATAATTTCATTAAATTCGGTTGACGGTTTCGAGATCAGTGTGAACTAACGGTGTGACCCGGGACTTTTATGTATTAAGATATTGTATTCCATTAGGTGGGCCGTCAGCTTGTTTGCCATTCTAAGTTGTATAAAAAAAATATTTTCAACTAGAAAAAGGGCCTTATTTTTATTTTAGGACTATGTCTTAAATATATCTGATTAGAGATTTGCATGTGATTATTTTAAGGTTTTCATGGTTATGAAAAACACATGAGTTTTGCAAATATATCAAAATTATGTAGATATTTACAATTTTTTATTGAGGTGGTAAAAAGCATACGGCTTGCCTGATAGTAAGTGGTTACTGTTATTTGTGAAGGCATGCAATACCAGGAGAATCCTTTTAGTATTGTTAGCTCATTGCCGAGCTTGTAGAAAATATACATATTATAATATATTTTAATACATATACATATATATTAGTCTTATTTAGTTTGTGTTATTATATTATTACAAGCAATTGTAGCTTTCAATCAAACATTTTCAAAGAATATTATTATTGGTGTATGACAGGATTTGTAAGATAATGAACGCTTGAAGCGTGTTGTTTTTGGTCTATAAAATATTTTACACTGCTTAGCGTAGTTAACATCCTCACCTTGTATGTGGAGTCACGGGGCGGGGCACCGCGGGGCGTCTTGGTACCCTCTAAGGGAAATATTTTGTATACAAGTCATAGGTACTAGCGGATAAGTGAACCAGCTTATTGTTCTAGTCCACGAAGTTCTAGTAACGAAACTTCTTGTTCCAATGAAAATAGCACAAAAATGGCATGTAACAAAAAAGATGATATAATTCAATTAGAAGGAAATAAATCCTATACCACTAATATTATAAATGTAGAAGTTTGTAAAAACGTATTTTTGTTTCTTAATAGCTCGAAAACGGTTGAACAGATTCGAACGAAATTTAGTTCATGAGAAGATTATATTTTAATTTAATATTATATTATATATAGGATAATTTATATACCGATAAATGTGGGCAAAGTCGCGGAAAATTATAAGTAGCAAAAATTTTAAAATATGTAAAATCAAAGTCTCTACTAATAAAATATCTGACAAAAACACTTTTACTTGCTTTTAAGGCTTCTCAAGCTCTATAGATAAAATATAAATCAATTGTGTTTCTAAAGGTCTAACTTAAAATTTGGTGTATAATTTATTTTGATACGGCACCTAGCTATGGTTTATTTCGATGGATTTCCTACTTCTGAAATTCACACATACGAAGTAGCGGGCAAAAAGCTAGCAATTTATATACATGTATGCTTTATTGTTCAAACATATTTTTACTTCGCTTTGAACTTTTTTTAAGAACAATTATATCGCAAAAAATACAGAAGTAGAATCATTATCACAAACCGTGATCACAATAATAACTTTACTTTCACATATATAAAAAGCACTAATTAAAATAACAAAACATTCATTATAATTACCCATTGAATTTTAATTTATTATTTATATTATTAAGTTATATTGTTTTACACATGATTTTATAATGTGAAAAACAATATAACTTAATACAAAGAAAATTAACCAAAAAAAAATACAAATAGCAGTTACATTCCGCTATATCTTATAAATAAGACCGGGGTTCATCTAAACAGATCAACAATACGAGCAAGGTGAGGCAACCCGTCGAAAGGGCAAACTCGGCTGATATAAAACGTGAACATCCCTGCATTCTGTACTCGAACTGTGAACCTCGTCGGACTATCACATCACTACACATCTGACGAACTACTATGTCGAGTCTGGTAAGGAAACAATCTGTACGGCCTAGGATATAAACAGCCATTGTTTGACGCGGCATCGGCGTGTTACAATAAAACAATGAGTTGTAATCATTTTTAAAAAGAAACATGTATTTTTATGTATCATAATTAAGAGATTTTTTTATATTTGTTGTATAGAGAAAAGAGTTTGTCGAGGCTATATCTTTTGTTTTACTCTAAACTTATTATTCTAATATTTAAATACATAAATTTTTTTTCAAAACTATTTTCTAGATACTCCTTGTTAATACTCAGAACAACTTTATTTCCGGAATTTAATAGATATCTATACATGTTTTCGTTTCAAATAAAATGGGTCTTATTTACTAGGGAAACTATATCAATAAAACAACAAATTAAATGGATAAATTAATTGCCAGTATATTTATAAAATGTTGCAGACGTTTCGGAAATTCCAATGAACCTTATGAACCGAAGGAATAGCAGTGATATTTTGGGCTGAAAGTTCATTACTTATGAGTGGCACTACAAATCCATTAATTTTAGACTCTAGATACTTAATTTTAGAAGTTGTTTTATGAAATCCGTTATAAAAGAAATATTACTTGGTAGATTTCCGAAAAATAATAAATAATATAGTCTATATCGTCAGTCTTTGTTAAGTGTATGTTGTTGTTATATAATTTAATTGGTGGGTATAATTTGTCCCGTCATTGAAATAGATGTTCTAAATCGATATAGTATTATTGTATTTAGTATACTTGAATAACTTAATATAAAGTACAATAATAATATATATTCTTTGTTTTCTGTATTATAGAGCATATTTCACACGAGACATGTGATGTACTAAGAAACCGTGTTCATTGTGTAAACTGTATATTAACGTGAAATAAATATTTCCTTGACAATTGGAGTATTTAAAATGATAAACTGTAAATGTGATTATGTATGTAACAGTATTTGTATATATATATATTGTATGTATATAGGTTATTTTTAAGTAACTTTTGAAAGAAAAAGGGTTTCATCTGAATTTTTTGCGAATATGTTGCAGGATTAATTCGTTTCGATTCGTTAATTCAGAATTGGTCTCATTTTACAGTAATTTTGCAATAATTGAAGCTGCTATTTTTATTTTTGCAGAACAGAAAACTGCTGTTTGGGGATAAAATTTATAATATTTACGAGAAACGAAATAATGCTTTATAGATAAAAAAATCTGTTGTCGTTTATTGGTAACGTACCAATATTTACCTATTAATGTTTATGATAAAATAGTTTTCTTTTTGAGGAGCAATTTGTCAATATAGTGGTATACTTGTTTGCAGTAATATTAGTTCAAGTTATAGTTCAATTATTTTTTTCAGAGTATTGTCTTGTCTGCCATTTTGGTGGCGGTTGTTTCTGCTGGTCGACTAGATCACCTGACTCAAGGTTACGGTGGCGCAGGTGCATACAATGCTCCTCCATCCCAGTACGAAAATATAAATAATGGCGATGGAACTTATCGTTTTAGGTATTATTTTATTTTAAAATAGATATCATTATATATATAGTAATTGTTGTGCTTGCATGAGTACGTCGTTAAATGTGGAGGAGATGACAGAAGTCTGAATCGGAGCATTTGGCGTTGATTATTTTTGCAGAAATATGCAGATGATACTCATAGCAATGGGAGACAGGTGTGATGCATATATGTTATGTAAAGTATATATCTATATGTAATATAATTATGTCTAATTAATAATTATTTTAAAAGGTGTATTACTTTTCTATTTCTTTTAATAATATATGCTTTTTCAGTCTTTATACTTTTTAGTATCATAATTTCTGGGGTTTTATATATATGATGAAATTAAAGTCATTTAAAGAAGTTTTCAACCATAGAAACTGAACAAAGATCATATTGGGTTAAAACGAAAGAGAAAAATAGGCTTCCTATTTTAATACGCAAAAAATATTCTATTAAAATGATCCTAAAAATTTTTGTTGAATATTGTAGAGTTGTTGCAGTAGATTATTAGCGACTAGGGCACAAAATTTTCAAAAAGTAATGTACAATATTACATAGGCAACAAAGATACGATATTCATGCACCTTATAAACGTACTAGATCTACGCCCATTTACGTGGGTGTTATGACGAATAGTTTGTAAATGCCATGAACTATATAATGTTTGTAACCTATATATGTTAGTTGCGATATTGTAGATTTCCATTCGTAATAATAGTATGAAGACACTTATATACATAAATATGAAGTACTTATAGAATGAATAAATTAGTAATTATTAATACATTTTTAATATACAAGAATGGTAATGATTTGTACATTTAAATATTTGATACCAGCATTATATTGCTTTTTAGAAATAAGTACGAACGAAATGAACATTTATAATCCAATAAATTTTTTCCATTTTTTTTTAAATTCTATTCTTTTTTAAAAATGAACTAGATTTGAGATATCACTCCGAAATTTAATACGGTTTCGGCGCTTAATCTGGATGTTTATCTATTTTGTTAAATTACTATTCCAGTTACGATACTCCAAGTGGAATATCAGCCCGTGAGAGTGGTTCTCCACGTGCGGCCGGCCCCGAAGGTCTAGCTGTGACGGCCGAGGGTGGATTCTCCTACCGTGCTCCTGACGGGCAACAGATCTCGCTGACGTATACGGCTGATGAGAATGGCTTCCATCCTGTTGGCTCCCACATCCCTACACCGCCTCCCATCCCTGAAGCTATACTCCGTTCTATTGAGTTTAACAGGCAGAATCCGTCTTCGTAAGTATATTTATATAAGATGTAATCCTCTTTTAAAAATGAAATAGCAATAGACTATAGTTTAGTACTTAATTAAAATATTGTTTAAAAAAAATTAATATCTTATAAAATATAATAAGGGAACAGCATAAATGGTCTAATTTTTATTAAAAAATAATAATAAAAATCGGTCTAAAATTAGCTAACTAAATAAAACGAACAATTAATTTTCTATTATTTTTTTTTATGCAACTTAGAACAGCAAACAAGCTGACGATTCACTTGATGGAAAGTGGCAACCGTCGCCTGTAGACATGAGCAATACCATGAACATAACAGAGTATACTGTTTCGCCCATGATACCCCCCATGCGTTGCCATTTTATTATTAATTGAGATACTTATATTACCGAAGTGCGATATTAATTTATACGAATTATATACATATTGCCCAGCAATAGACGGATGATAGCTGAAACGATAATGATATACACATTTACTCATTTCAGATATGTATATATAGTAAAGTAACAACCACCTAATGGTAGTTGGTACTTTACCACATTTTAATTGTGAAAATATTTTCTTAAATAATTTGTGTGGATGAATTATGAAATTAAACAATATAAATACAACATTTATTTTCCAGTGACAACGGCGCTTACAACGGGGGGCGCAATGCTTACCGCTATTAAGTCATATTTATAAGATAACAAGTGTCAGCTTACCTCAGAACATGGACTGTGATATCGATGCAAACATTATTACTAGTTAATTATTTAACTAACGATGTGTAATTTATGAATAAATATATTTTTGAAAAGTTAATAGAGTAATTTTATTTATTAAAAATATATACTGATTTATTGATATTTTTGTAGAAATTAAATTATATATACAAATTTAGAGAAACGAAAGAGTAATAAAAATGTTAAAAAATATTTAGGAATTTCTTATATTTATGCACTGGCTGTTTACACTTATACCTAGGATGGTAAAAGAACAAACAGGGGTTTTTTATATCATTGGTTGGCGTTACGTGGTCCACTTTCAAAGTACCTCTTTATGTACTTTGAAAAAAAAGAACAATTTTTGTCGTTTTTATTTTGGACAATAAATTCTTTCTCTTTAGAAATTTTATTTTTTTAATTTAATTGGATTTTCAAAATGTTTAACTAATTCAACAGCAGTAATAGATGATTATATATATGTGAATATAGGTTTGAATCTCTAATTAGAAAATTTGAAAAACTGTAGGTACAATATGTTAGTAATTTAAGGACTATCATCTTCATATTAAAAAAAAAGGATCACGTAAGTTCATAATAGAAACAGAGAACAATTTGAAGCATCATCATTATCAAAGAAAAAAATCAATGTATACGCACCTATAAGTGTGATCGATTCATAGAACTGTTAAGTATTTCAGAGAGTGCTAACATATGTATAAATAGAGATAAATTATTTTGTTGTGTTATGAATTATAAGAAGCTATATAAATTTTCAACAACTTAGTAAGTGTATGAGGGGTCATGAAACGTGATGAATTGTCGTTTGGCCCGGTGTTGGTCAACTCTGACATTTGTGTGTGGCAATAAGTGGAACTAGGAGTGCTAAGATCATGTTCCGTTTAAAGTGTATTTACTCGATCATTGTATTTGAAGTACTAGATTATACACTTGTAGATAGAGTATCTTAATGTATACAAAATTATTACTTTGTTAAAAGCACGCCAACTTTTGTTCTTGTGTGCTTGATTAGCAGAATATGTAACGAGTTTTTTCATACTATCACACCAATTGCTTGTTCCTTAAGCTAGGATATCTTGTGTTATGAGGAACTAGGCAACAAGTGTTTGGTCAGACAATACCAAATACTTAAATCCAAGCCAATTCAGAAAAGTTTCTTTTCTAAATTGAATTTGGGATCGGATCCAGGACTTCATATACGCAGAGCAACGGTCCATGGAGGTTGTTGTTATTATTCATTAAGTAAAAGAAATGAAACCTACTATAAGTTGAAAGATAAGAACATTATGAACTTCTCATGTCTATAATAATTGTATATACGGGGTAGACAGTGTATAAAGATTCATAATAAAGTTTATTTTTACCGATTAGTTTGATTGATAGGTAAAAACAGTAATATAAATTCGTTTACAAAGCAATTAAATGTGCCCATGATTTTGACTGAAACATGCATATTAATTTGTATACAATATGTAAATATAATATACTTAATCTGAATTGATAATATCTATCTGTATTGAATTTTTTAATTGAATTTCCTCCAACACTGAATAATGGTGCACTTTGTACTGTTTTAAAAATATATACTCTAGCCAAATCAAAATAACCTATTTCAAAGGGAAGAATTCTTATGATAAACGCCTGTTTCATTCCGTTATGCAACTGAGATCTTTTTACCAACTTTATAAAGCATAAACGACTAGGTGTTATGTATACGTCTGGTAACGCAGTTTTTTTTTTATGGGTGAAAATGGTATGGTAACCCCACCTGCGCCAACGGGATACGCTGGTGGAGCACCAGTGAAGGGTGATAGATGAGAATGAAAACAGGCCAGTTAGCCCATCATGATGAATTCATCAGGAATTAACCATGATAGTTTCCAGGGAGAACCGCGAGGAGGTCGACCTGGTTGGATATATTGCTAGCAATGGGATTCTTAGTCTCCATTACTAATAATCCCTTTTCCCCTAACCCCAAGTAACGGAGTAAGAATGCACTGTAAAAAGTAGCTATCGGAATAGAGCACCATGCAACAGTGTAAGATAAGAAAAATTCCAAATAAAAGCAATATCAACCTAAAGTGTTATTAGTAGGTTATAATGGGGAGAAAATGGCATCCAACAGCAGGAAGTTAAAAAAGCTCTACTATATCTCTCTTAAGTATTCTGTTTTAAGTATTTGAGTGTTTTTCTGTGAACTCTCTTCATTTTCTTCCTTCACTCTCTCCTGTTGTTTGCTATTAAGTTTCTATATTTATTTATTGATATATGTGTATATACTAGTATTTATATATTAGTTTGTCACTTATACTTTGTCTTTTTTATCAATGTCCTGTATCTAGAGTTTGACTGGTAGAGATTGCTTAGTGATAAGGCCACCTTTTGTAACAGAGTAAAATTTACTATATTTGTTGTTTTTGTAAATAGTGTAAATTATTAAATATATTGCGTATTTTTGCGGGTCAGGGAAAGCCCCTGTATTTCTAAAATCATGTAATTCAATGTAAATTTACATTTCATCTGACATATTTAATATAATGTGACTGGACGCACGGCTATTGTTATAACTTATATTTAATATAATTTTATTGTTTTATCTCCGATTTTCAATGTGATTATGATGTTAATTATCATCATTAAGTAAAAATAAAATTTTTCACTATTTAATTAAAAAAATATCAAACATTTTTTATTTATAAAGCTGGTTTCGTAGGTAGTTTCCTTAGGGAGTATAAAATTCCGCACTGCCCACCTAAGTTATCTACCTAAGATGAATATAGTCTTTCATTTTAGGTCATATTAAACACAATACACCACCAATTAATTATGGTCCCTATATACCTAATATATTATCATTATAATTAAATTTAGTGGATACTAAATATGCCTGTAAACCCAGGCAAAGTAGTAGAGTTACTTAACACTATTTGACTAGGTATTTTCATAACGTTTTATTGGGTAGATATGTTATGTTATAGGTTATAGATACTAATTTTTATTAGATATGTATATTCTATGCAGTCAATGGCTTATGTCCAGCAGTGGACGAATAATGGCTGATGATGTATATTCGATATTTTTTTTTAATTAAATACGTTTCTGACGTTTTGTATTGTCTGATGCTAGTATTTTCCTTGTTCTCTTTACACTGTCTAGGTGTATTGAAATTCAATAAACAAATAGATTGGTATATAAAGCTAAATAGACTTTTATGGAACAGTGGTGCAATTTATAAAACGATGTTATAATATAAATTGAAATCCTATTTTCACATTTACACTATTCTTTATATACACAGATGGTCGTTGTTAGATTTCTTATATTATTCCAAATTAATGAGAATCATGCAAGTGTATATGTGTATCTATATAGTATATGTATATATAATATATCTACATATATAATTAATATTAAAAATTTCAATGTCTTTACCTATTCAATAATATAAATCTTACATTGTTTAGTATTCATTCCTATATATATTTTTTTTACAACACAGGGGGCAAACGAGAATGCGACTCACCTGATGGTAAGTGACTACCGCCGCTCATGATCACCCACAACACCAGTTGTGGGTGATCATGGGCGTCAACCCATTGCAGGTGTGCTGCCGGCCTTTTAAAAAGGAATATACTCTTTTCTTGAAGGTTATGTTGTCGTATCGGTTCGGAAATAAAGTTTGTATGAAAGGATATATTTGTAAAAATTATACAGAAAGGTAATAAGTTTGGGTACACCTTTGCGAAGTTGAGGTGGATGACAGGTAAAATATAAAAGCAAAAAATGTAATCAATCTATCTTTATTAATGCTCAATTTTCGCGCCAATAGCTATAAATAGACATGCATTTATTTACATTAAAAGCCTATACAATAAATATGTCGTATCAGTAGATATCACAGTCCGTTATCATTGATGTGGGAGTACAGTTGTCGCGTGTCGTGATACTCAATAGTGATAACCATTGTAAGCCCCGCTGTTGTAGGAGCCGTCACTGAAACGAAACATATTCATGAATAAAGATAATATACGGTCATGAATATGTGAATCAACCTTTCTCTTTCTCTCCTTCAGCATTAGTTCATGAGTTAATAACTTTTTATTTATAAACTATTATATAAATATAACTAGAATTCTACTATGAGACAAACAATATTTTATGGCAAAAAATAAGCTGTTAGATGTGAGTCGCTATGTACATATATGTGATACTGATATGTTCATAGTAATGCACTTGTATCATCATTACTCGTCGTGTGGTCGCGGCATAGTCACCCTTTCCTTTCTCGTGGGTGTCGTAAGAGGCGACTAAGGGAACTTAATGGTTGAGGCATGGGCAGTAATGTCTTTAAATATCATCAAAGCCTAACTGCACTTGTCAATTCGCTTGCCAAGCGTGGCAACAATTGGCACAACGCCCTTAATGGGAGAGGCCTATGTTTAACAGTGGACAGATAATGACTGATATGATGATGATCGTCATCATCATCATCTCTTCTAGCTCTTTAAACCGAAACAAAAAAATCTATGTAGGAAAATATTCGACAATATCCTAGATTTGAATATTGTAACAGAGTTTTATGGTTCAACTTCTGATTGTATGATTGATTACTAAAAATTATAAAAAATAGTATCTAATTGAATTGAGTAGAATATTTACTTTATATTACATATATGAAATTAATAAATAACATTTGCTATTGATATGAAAAACGAAGATATTTTAATAAGAAACATGAAAATTTGAAAGAAAGTTGGTATCATGGGTTGCGAAAGTTATTACATCAATTAACCTTCGGCTGTCAGGTTACTGTAACTCCAGATGACAATGATATTGCGAAGGAAATGTAATTAGTTTGAGACTAATCAATGTAGTATTAGAAAAGCTTTCGTTCATTCATTTCGTTCATGATGGAGGCAAAAACTTTCTCTGTTATTAAGCCACAAAGCATGGTATCAAATTTATTATTATCTATCAAATAAATAGATATGATTATATGTTATTATTATCATATCTATTTATTTTCTATTTCTAATTATAATTTTTAATGAGTTAATTTAGTTAGTTAATTGACAATTTTTTTAAATTTACATTAGTGCATACTTACTAAGACGGGTTTTGCCTGTTGTACTGGAGTGATCGGAGTATGGCTTCAGGGATTGGGGGTGGTGTGGGGATATGGGAGCCAGTGGGATGGAATCCGTTCTCGTCAGCCGTGTATGTCAGTGAGACCTGTTGACCGTCAGGAGCGCGGTAGGAGAATCCACCCTCGGCCGTCACAGCTGGACCTTCAGGTCCTGGGGCTCGGGGAGCTCCGCTCTCATGCGCTGATATGCCATTGCCGGTTTCGTAGCTGTAAAATATGATCGATAGTTTGTTAGGAAAGTATACTTCTTTATTAAGATAATTATATTTTTCAATAACTGTATCCCGCGGCTTTGTCTGCATGGATACAGTTATTGGAAAATTTCAATATACAAAGTATCCTATGTCTTAAAATATAATAACCTAATATTACCCATATTCATCAGTTCTATTCAATTGTTTAAGCATGATTAAGTTACAAATATCTAAACTTAGAAACACCTTCAAACTTTCACATTTATAATATTAATGAAGTACAAGTATAAATATAAATAAGATGGAAAAAGTATTTATAATTAATAATGGAAATAAAGTTTTGAAATTGAGTTCACTTAAGGCACTGTAAGTAGAGGATACTATTTACCATCTCCGTTTTGTGTTAGGTATCAGTAAGTTGTCAGTTTCCAATATTATTTATAATTTATGCAGGTGGATGCAAGTGGCTAAAGACGGTTCCTTATAACAGTTTATGAGGAAAGCATATGTTCAATAGTGGTATATGTGCATCATCATCATATCAGATCATGATGATGATAGTAAGATTGAAGTTTAAAATTTGTAAAAGAAGTGATCGTATTTACTTTATGCGCTTAATTATAAATAAAGTTTCTAAATTTAAATTTTTTTAATTTTATTATTTGACAATTGCACATATAGGTATAATTACAGTAATTATTTATTATTATAATTATACTTTGAAAAAAAAATTCTTTAAAATATCTAAAAAAATTATATACATATATCTATTTCATTTAGATATTTGTATTAAAAATATTAAAAATACTATTGGATCATTTACATAATATGTGAGAAGAATAGATAGACGATAGACAAAAAGTACGCCAAGGACGGTACGTACTATGTACGTACGCACAAGGACAAGTATTTGCACAAGTATTCCATGATCACATTACCTGTATCTGTAGGTTCCGTCGCCATTGTTGACGTTATCATATCGAAGAATTGGTATATGTGCCCCGCCGCTGTAACCAAATCCTGCTCCGCTGCCTGATCCAAACCCACTGTAACCATTATAGCCAGTATACCCACCCAAATGGCCAGCAGACGCCATTGTAATCACAGCGAAGCTTAAGATAACCTAGAAAAAAAACACAAAGGCAAATCAGTCATTACAAAACTCATTGTGAAAAGATTACAGGATTAGTCAGTGTTGATCTATAAATGTTTTGTAACAATCATGGAAGATAATAATACGCAAATCTATTATTTTAATGTTGAAGCTTTGATTTTATCTTATTTTGAAATATATTGTATTGCAACAACAATCTACTTGTCTTGAAAAATCTCATGATATCTTAACCGCAATGAAGATGTTGTGAGTCTAATTAGATAGCTAATCAAAATAGATGTAGTGTGTACCATGAGAAAGGATTTAAATATATGAATAATTATTATACGACATCATATGAACATGTTGAATACACATTTAGCAGAATATATTTTAGCTGTTTCAAAAGCAGAATTACTATTTTATTTAGTTTCATTTAAAAAGCTATTCTGAATTAAAACAATGAAAGTGATGATACAAGTAATTTCTTATGAAAAATAATTGCTGGACTGATGTACCTAAAAGGACAAAAGTACCAAAAACAAAATAAAGATAAAGATTAATTATTACTGCAAACAACAAAATTCACGTTCGTAATTTTACCAATTAATAAAATTATTAAAATTTATCACTCAAAATATATTTATCAATAAATTTGCAATACAGTTATACCTTGATAGAACACATTTTTCGAGCTTCTTAGAGTTGCGTATGATTAGGCAAGTGGGTACTATATGCAGAACAATGCTGTAAAGAATGATGCTCGTTACGTTTGCAATCTTTTTATATTGATGCTGTCTACCCTTCCACCATCACCTTGCTCCAAATCAGTCAGGGCGGCGCCAATGGCCGATGATTTGAGGAGTATTGGTAGCATTCCGTCGAGACCACCCCCTGCAGTTTTGATGATTGTTGTGAACCGTGCGCTATGATGTATTTGGCAATACCTTCCGAGATAACCTAAAGTGTAATCGTCAATGTCATAGTAATAGATGTTTCATGGTAATAATATATCGATCACGATTGTTGATTGTTTGTGGTTTTTGTCAGTTGCAGGTTGCAAAGTTTAAGAATGTATGGCGAAATTTTTTGTAATACAAATTATGTTTTTCATATGACAAAATAAGGATAATTCAAGGTTGGTTTACAATAAATAAAAATAAAAGCAAAAGATATCATGCACGTTTTAAAGCTCTAAAACAAATTATATAAATTTCCGAGATTTCCTACATGGGGTGCTTTAAAAAAAGGGGTAAAAATGTTGGCAACGTGCGCCTCATACTCCTGGTATTGCAAGTGTTCATAGGTTACGGTAACATCATACCATTAGGGGGGCCCTATGCTTGTTTGACACCTCAGTGGTATAAAAAACATAGCATAGCGAAATTTACTATTAATTAGGTAATTACGAAATATCATAAATTATTTGACTAGCCGAAATTTTGTACTCACAACAATGATTTATGTAAAGGGACGACACGATGCAGGCAAACGCAGTGTAGAACAACTCTAGTTACTGGTGTAGTAGGAGTTTCTTGTTGAATTTCTTGCTGGCCATATACCCTATCAGGTCGACCTTCACTTGGTCTCCCTTTATGGATGTTCCTGTGAATTATTCACGATGGACTAACTGATTTAATTTCATCTTCACCTCTCATTAGTAACCCGCTGGTGGGTAGCGGGTGATGGTTCTATTTTTATCCCTTTTAAAAAAATTCCTCGCTATGATAATATAAAAATACTTCGCTATAGTCCAATAACCTTGAACATGTAACATAGTGGATGTAGGAGGTGGCACGTGGACAATGAATGGTTTATATGATATTGATTTATTATGAAAAGATATTTTCCGAAATTTCCACGGACACAGGAGAAAATTTTGCTACAATTGAGTAATATAATAATAATACATACATTCTTTTGTTTAGTTACAGCTTAGTGATTACTTAATTTGATTTTTATTTTTCACACGAACCTAATTTTTAAACCACTTCAAAATGGTGATTATTTCCATTTCACTTATATTTTTTGAATATGCTACGTGAAATGTGCGCTAATTCTAAAAAAAAAAATTAATAATACGAGTAAGTTTCACTATCGACAGGATTTATCCTCGTGCTGGTTCCATTATACTTTATCATGATTGATGACGCTTTTTTGCAGAGCAATATTTTAAATTATTCGACAGCAATTTAATTTGAAATTCAAGTTTGCGCGGATGAAGCTGTGAATTGTACAATGATAAAAAAGTGTCTTGAAGATATTTTCTAATGCGTTACGTCATACATTGTAAATATTTCGTTTATTATATACTTGTAAATTATAAGTACTGTAGTTCCAAATTTATTTTTAGTGTCTACTGCATAAAGTATGTAGTGATGTAGCATCGACAATAATGGGATCAGATAAAGTAACAAACTTAATATCATTGTGATAAATGTAATTTAAAAGTGTTTTTTAAAGTAAACGCCTCATTTTGTTCAATTCAATCAATATATATAATAAAGTCGTAACTGGTTTGTACATGGAAGATATATAAGAAAAATTATAACAGGTGGACTTTATGAACGCAAAAGAATCCAAAACAATGATTTTTAGAATTGTTATCTGTGTCTTAACTAATTTGAAATTTTCACTAATGCATTGCGGTTTCTTACACTTAATATTTAGTGTTCGTTTTATTTCAATCGGTTTATAAATAAAAAAGTTATATCAATGTAAAGAATCACATATAAAATGCTATATAAATAATCGATCAATGGAATTGGCTAAAACTTTTTCTATTATACGTATTGATATTCAATAATTCTGTCTATTCGTGCGAAGCCGGGTCGGATCGTTAATTTTTTTATAAATATAATAGTAATTTACAGTAGTACGATATAACAATTATTATTATCAGAACCAATTTAATTTTCAATGTCGATACAAGTTAATAAAATTTTAGGTCTTTGTCAACGCCTCCAATTTATTAACCTTAATAAAACCTTTTTAATGTTTTATCATATACATAATCTATAAATATCTATTTTGTAGTTAATAAAGATTAATTAACTCTAAAAACGTTATATTATTTTCTAATTAGTACTAAAGTCAAGCTTGTTATATTAAACATTGTTATATTAATGCTTGTCAGGTGTTTGTGTATAGTTTATATAAAAATTACATTTGTTAAGTTTACCTATCTTATGTATATAAGTATTATGTATATATGTACTTCTACGAGAAACCAGATGGAAGAAGTGCATTGAGTTAAGAGGAGATTACGTGGAAAAATAAGATTACTTTTGTTTATATTTTATATTGTTTTTTTGCCGAGGCCGCGAACTTTTTAATCCATCCTCGTTGTTGTAGAAACATTATATTTTATCTGAAAGTGGTTTCTTTTTTATTCTATTTTAATAGGTACTATATTAAATTGCTTGGGAGGAATTATCTTTAGAGATTGCTAGTTTAGTCACTAAAGATACTTAGAGAAATTTTTTTTTTATACAACTTATAATGGCAAACAAGCTGACGGCCCACCTGATGGAAAGTGGTAACCGTCGCCTATAGACATGAGCAGTACCATGGACACAACAGAGTATACTGTTTCGCTCATGATACCCCCCATGCGTTGCCATTCCTGAGGACTCAGATGTTATTCCTCTGTACCCAGTAAATTCACTGCCATATCCCACCCTTCAAACCGAAACACAGCCATGCAAACACAACTGCTTCACGGGTGAAACACGAATGAGACAGAGGTACCCAAGCAATCGACTTTTGTACAAAGTCTCCCTCTGGTAGATAGTCTAGATTATAATAAATAACATATACCTATAGAAAGTATAGCTATTTATTATATAGTAGATATTTTACAAATAAGAATTTGTATGCACATTGTATATTATTTATTAATTGTTGATAAATTGAGGGTTTTCGTAATATTTGTTCTGTAATCGTAAGGAATAACAAAGTTCTTCCACATTTTATTTAATTTTTATCTCAGTCCGTCTTTTGTAATAAACCTTTTTAAGTACTATAAATAATACTATAATGTGAAAGTTTTTAAGAACTGTGGATTTTATAAAAATAAATAAATAAGTAATATGATGAATAAAGAAAAAAACAATGTTACGATAACTCTTCTATTTAACTATAATATACATGTAAGTAGATAAAATATATTACTGTACCACAATGGTTAAATCACAGTTTTAGACGAAATCATCACCTTCCTACCCTTATCCCAATTATTATTTGAGGTCGGCGTAATATGGTTTTATCCATATCACAAAAAGATTTGGTTTTTTAGTTTTACGACCGGCCGCCTGCCTGACGTCAACCCTCTTTGGGAATGCATTTGACGACCAATATTGTTAAATTAGTTACATTCTATATATCGATTGGTTATTCTATATAAGTATTGTTCTAATTTTAACCGACTTTCAAAAAGGAGGGATTTCTTAATTTGTCTGAATCCTAAATTTTTTATGTATATTTCTCGATTATTGAAGACACCCGAACCCATTCGAAAAATCCTTATTTTATCTGAAAGGGTATTCTTTCAGATTAGTTCCATAGAAATTTTATCCAAATCGGATCTGTAGTTTAGTTTTTAAATAAAAAAAAAACGGATTTTATGAATAACAATATTTGTTTGGCCACGACTGAAGCGGTTTCATTTGTGGAATACAATCTTAAATTAGTAGTTTAGAAAAATAACTGGGATGAAATCAGACAACATATAAGAGGTATTATTTATGTATTTCTCTTAAAGGATTATATTTATTTATTATTAATAGTGCATTATTTACATTGCAGTTATTAGTTAAATAAATTAATTCATGCTCGTATGTATCGTATCACAGTCCTTTTATCGTGGGGTGATGCAGTCATCGTTAAGAAACATATATTTATGCTAAAAATCACAAGTATTAAAATTCTATTTATTAATATTAATAATTAAGTAAAACATAGCTATTTAATGAAATTATAATTTATGCAAGTTATTATTAAAAGAATGAATCTAGTTCAATAATTACTTTTATTTATAAATTGTTTTTCAATTTACAAATGTGTATAAATAATATTGCACATTTCGGTTCTATATTTCGTTTTTAATTTGATTTTAACAAGGTTTAGTTGAAATAAAAAAATATTGATAAAAACTATAATAATATTTTAAAACTTATATAATCATATGCTGAAATTGTGAATATCACTATTTTACTTTTTAATTGACTCTACAGACTATTTAATATTATTCCAAGCTTAATAGTTAAGCAAGCTCCTGAGATCAGTGGATTTTAAGATAAGTTAGATTAGTTAGATAAGTTCGAAATTTGTAATTGTTAAAATATAAATTCAATGATTGTGATTTTTAGCTAAATATAGCTAGTGTTAAGATTAGTAATGATAGCCACCAGCCCCTCCGGATCCACCTGAACCGTTGCCTCCAGAGCCACCGCCGCCATTATAGGCTCCCTCCCTGAAATAGGAAAATATGAATTAAGAAAATATTTTATAGTTATCAAAGACGACACAAAAATTAAAGATTTTTAGTTCATATTTTTTTTATGTAATGGAAATTTGCTAAGGCTACCCGTGTGTTAAGGTAGTACAATTTTTAAGTACAATATACAAAAACAAACTCAATAATTTTTATATTCTCAGGAAGTTACCATCAGTGTAATTACATAGTTTCTATTATTATCATCTCCATAATAGATTAATAGGTCTACTGTAAAGTTCTTAGTGACAGTAGTAAGAATAATAATAATAACAAAAATATGTAAATTTGTGAATAATATTAATATAACTGAGAAGCAAGAACTCTAAAATGTTTATTGAATTATCGATCTGTACTAATCGAATTTTATTTAAAAGAATTATGGTTTTTAATCGTATCTAATAATATTATATGAGGAAATACTCAAATAATACTTAACCTTAAATTATATAGATCGCAGCATCGAGTCTTAAAAACCGGTCAACTTTTTATCAGCTAATTGTCAAATTAGCTACCTCGTTTTTTTTCAGTATTCTATATACTTACGTATACAATGTATCTTGACGTATTATTTAATAAATAAAATGAGTATTTACGTATTAAAAAGATCTAGAAATTATAAGACAAAATAAATATAGAAGTTATAAAGAAATCACTCATAACTATTTTATCACGCAAAATTTTATAAAAAAGCTGACCTGTTTTCTTGAACACTCTATCTATATAATCTAAGAACTTAACCGACTTTAAAAACGTTGCTATTATAGATGCTTCTTATAAAAAGTTATATTAACAGCGAGTAATATCTGTATTCTATTTTCAAGAATCGCTAGTATTCTATAACTATGGAACACAATAATATATGAGATGTAAAATTGTGTGTAATACATACGACGATGGGTTTCGTTTGTTGAACTCAATGGATCGAAGGATCTCCTCAGGAATGGGGGGAGGAGTAGGCAGATGGGGGCCAACGGGATGGAAACCATTCTCGTCGGCTGTGTAGGTGAGAGAGATTTGTTGTCCATCGGGTGCGCGGTAAGAGAATCCACCTTCAGCTGTGACAGCAGGACCCTCGGGTCCAGGTGCACGGGGGGCGCCGCTTTCGTGAGCTTCTATACCATTGCCTGTCTCATAGCTGTAATTGAAATATTGTTTAATGAGCATATGTTTCGATAGTTTAAGTTTAAGTTAGTAAAGTAATAGATTAAGTTAATTAAGGTAGACCGTCTGCCACGTAGGATTCTAATATGTTTGATCAAATATGGGCTTGTAGAGTGTTCCTTTTATAATAGCAATAGTCGATATATCACTGGTTATCCCATCAGGTATTATAAGATTGAGAATGTGTTTTGTATTTATTTGAAATAATTAATGATAGAGTATGTGTGTTAACAAATATTAATTTATTTCGCTGACAGTAATTTTGCAAATTAAAATCAAATAAGCTGATGGAAAATAACCGTCGCGGCGTGTCGTCGCCTGTTTATGTACGCAATATTATTAATTTTAAACTGTTAATAAATAAGGAAAGTTTCAGATATAATTACTATGATTAGATGGTATTTTGATATTAAGTTTTTTATATAAAAATGTAATTTAAGGTAAGAAAATATGTATACTAAATTAGATTATTTAATTAATTCGTTGACTTATCTACTTACTAATTTTGAAGAGGGAGGTACAGATTATGGCTTCAAGGAAGCTAACTTGTATATGTATATATATATTAAAAGGAACCAAGAATAATAGTCAAAGGAACATCATCGCATCAGAATAGGTAAACCTATATTAATTTCTTTAATGAAAGCCTTTGTTTGCAATAGACGGATCTCTGATAACAGTGGGAATGTCATTGTGCATATTATGTCTTTTATAAGAAAGGGACAATTGACCCCACATATGAGGGGTTCTTATATTATATCGTAGCACCGTACTATTTTACCGACATGATATAATAATAGGAGAGCAAATTGTATGCAATTGTATTGAGATACTTCTATATTTCTGTAACTATTTCGTGGATATGCATGGAAAATTAAAAGCGTTTCCTTATTTTTTTTTTATACAACTTAAAATGGAAAACAAGCTGACGGCCCACCTGATGGAAAGTGGTAGCCGTCGCCTATAGACATGAGCAGTACCATGGACATAACAGAGTATACTGTTTTGCCCATGATACCCCCCATGCGTTGCCATTCCTGAGAACTTATAATTGTAGTAATTTTGATCTCCTATTATATCATTATGTATTATATCATAACAGTAAAATTATGCGATACCGAGTTATATCGTAGTAAATTATAAAAGCGATCATTGTTTTTTAAATATTTGTTTAAAACTCATAGTCGAGACAATCTTCCAAATTTTCCTGGACTATATTAAAATGGCCTATGAGTTTTATTGTAGTCATAATCAGACTTCAATATAGTTTCCATAAAAAATTACCTGAAGTGATAATTGCCATCACCGTTGTTCACGTTCTCGAACTTAGTGATTGGTATATTTGCGCCTCCAGCACCACCGGAGCCGCCACCGAATCCGTTTCCAGAACCGCCACCGCCTCCGCTGTACGCTCCACTACCCGCTCCGCCGCCTCCTGATCCACCTCCTGGTCTCGGAGGTAAGTACTGAGGCTCTAGACGTCCACATGATACCACAGCTATAAGCGCTGTTGTCAAGGTAACCTGAATAACATTTTTTGTTATGATTTGTTATATTACTGGTAAACATGCTGATGGCCTATCTGATCGAAAGTGGTAACCGTCGTTTATAGATATGAATGTACCGTGAACATCATAGGATGCACGATGATGACCGTGGCATGGTTTTGTCTCTGTATTTTAAAATTTCACTGCTATATTCCACCCTTCAAATCGAAAGCAAAGTGCAGCTATGAAAGCACGGCTACTTCATTGAAAAATATGAGTAAAAGAGAGATATCCAAGCATACGACTTTTGTATAAAGTCTCCCTTTGGCAATATATAGATAATTGAATATCCTTATATGAAGTAAGAAGATGTTGGTGATTTATTATAACATTACGAGATGAAGCAGAAACGGTGTAACAATTCAAAGTCTCTCAATAGAATTTAGGAAACTGAAACCGTTTCTACAAGGAAAAAGTTGGCACAAAATTGTTTTCATAGTTCAATCCTTGTTCCGTGGATAAAGTAGATTCAATTCAAAGAATGACTACTGTTATTGGATATCGGAATGTAGGAAATATCGTTTTATATATTTACTAATAAGGCCCTGAGTTTGACTCTCGATCAGACTTGTGTGAAGCTTTCGTTCGTTATCAGTATCGATTTTGCAATATGAGGTCATCATGTTACAGAAAGTATAATAATTAGATAGTTAAAAATGTTAAATATATATTATAGAATATCTTTACGAGTATAATCTGGAGATAATGGGTTAGGAAAATACTTATTGTCAGTAATAAATCCTAATGTTATCAATTGAGTAACATTGTATCAGTTACATTTACGTGTTTGATAAATGTCTGGAAATCGTTGCACTACCACCAAAATACTGGGTATTGTACGAGGGAGTCACGAATGTTATTTGCTGTTATAGCTTATATGTAATTTGAATCTATTTTGCAGTCTAATCTAGTGGTGAATACCAACATTACCGCGTAAACGAAGCTTTACCACATCGGAACGATATTTTGTTAGTAAAATCTGACTATCAACTCACCAAGGCGTACATAATCGCAGTTTTTATAAAATTCTATATTAATTAAACTGGCACTCTATGTTTAGCAGCTAACTGAGTAAAGTTTGCGAGGATGTGCCCCGTTTTATATTGCTCCGATTTGCCCTTTCTCGGTTGCTTCACCTTGTGCGTGCTCTGCAGATATCGGCAAGTGAATCCGAGCTTTAGTCGATCCACGCCCCGGGGTTTTGTTAACCTGGAATTCCCTTTGCTAATAGAATAAATGAAATGTTAATGAATGAATGTTTTATGAAATTTGACACTTTTTCTGTTTAAATAGCAGTGAAAATAGAAAATATTTGTTGAAAATCATATAGACCGAAGTTAGTTCATTTTCGGAATTGATAAAAATAATATTGTTAAGCGTTTTCAAAAGAAGGATGTGATATTTATATCAATTATGAAAAATTTTATATTATTATTTTTCAAATTCATAGTTATTTTTATCGTACTATACACTTTTTCTGTTTGAATAGTAGTGAAATTAGAAAATATTTGTTGAAAATCATATGAATCGTAGTTACTTCATTTTCGAAATTTGATTAAAATAAAAGATAAAGAAGGATGTATGGTATCTTAACCAACTAAAAATATTTTTTTATAATATTTTTTTAATTAAAAAGTCATAAATATAAATACAAAAAATAAAATCTTTGTAAATACGAGTATGTACTAAGTATGTACGGTTATGTAGTAAAAATTTGTACTAAGATTTAAATATATTTTTAGAAATAATAATATTATTGATTATAATTTCATTTTAATTCCCCTATTTATCAATCAATTTATTCAGTAAGCTCAAGAAAAGTTATTCTTTAATTTTGTAATTATAAATGTTATTATTTTATCACCATATATTATGTAACATGTCAGTAATAACATAGTTAGACAACATATAGAGACGAAGTCCACTAAATCATTTTCATTAAAGCAATATATAGGAACAACTATTGGTTAAGTATTTACTTAGTGAAGAACTATTAACTAACGTTAATAGCGAGTTAACTGATTGTAAGGTCTCATTCTCTGCCTGGTTATGAAACTTGAAGCTAATATGAATACACACTATGGAGAACTAGTTTTATAAGTATGATTTATAATTTTTAACAGTTTATAGAAAATAATTTCTTTTTATATATGAAAATTGTATGAGTAAGCACTTGGTAGTGTGAGAAGATTTATACATTTTTATACATGACTAGCTTTTTGCGTGCTTTTTCGTACGTGTGGTTTCAGAAGTATGAAAACTAATGAAGTAGACTACTTATTGATGGTAAATCAAGATAAAATATATGCCAGGTTTTAAATCCGACCTTCAGGAATATAACTATGAAAACTGCATCCAATTTCGTGTAGAAGATTTTGCGTGATGCCTGAATTCAAACAGACAAAAAGAATCTAAAATCGAAGAAATTAAGATCCCTCACATTCATTTTTATTAAATATATCTTAGGTATAAATATCAACATACCATTTTAATATATTTGTCATATAAGATTTTACGATTCAAAATCAGGTTATATCCAATCGGGCTATCATTTATCAGCAGATAGTTTAAATGTAAAATGTAATGTTAAAAGTCCTAAAAACATGGATTGTACCTACCTTATTTGAAGAATATTATTTCAATCATAGAGGGGAAGCTTGTGTTCAGCAGGGGACTAATAGATGGGGGACAGGGATAAATAATCTTATATATTTAAGTGTCACGTTCCCTGATAGTTTCTTATCTATGAATTGACTTCACTGAATTTAGTATATTGTAGTTTTAAATTAGAATTGAATTTAAAATTGTTGGCGAAGGTATTTTTTTCTATTGATGATAATCATCATCATCAGCATATCATATAATATACTAAGGAATGGCAACGCATGGGAGGTATTATGGGCGAAACAGTATACTCTGTTATGTCCATGGTACTGCTCATATCTATAGGTGACAGTTACTCCTTTACATCAGGTGGGCCGTCAGTTTGTTTGCCATTCTAAGCTGCATAAAACAGCTTTGGACTGTCCACTGGCGAATATAAGCCTCCCCCTTTTGCCAGTAGTTGTCACGCTTAGCAAGCGGATTGGCAACCACAGTTAAGCTTTGTAGATGTTTCAAGAGAGTCGCTGCCGCCCATCCCTCGCCCTCTCTTAGTCGCCTCTTACAAAACCCACGGGAACACAGCCATGCAAACACAACTGCTTTATGGTAGAAACACGAATTGGACAGAGCAAATGATTTTTGTACAAAGTCTCTTTCTAGTATGTTATTTTGTGACTGATATCGAAAGGTACTACAGGGTTTTTCTATATACAAAGTGAAATTTAAATACTTTTAAAGACAGTATTCTGCTACAAAAAAAAAATGGACATGTTTCGCAAAGAAATATACTCATAGGTTAGACAGAAAAAAAATCGTACCTTCCATATTCAAACGGTGCGCCCAGCACTTAAGTTAATCCACCTGTCAAGGTTCTTTGGGAAAATGTTGATTTACTGGTTTCATCCTGTGTAATTGATCCAAATTTAAGTGACCCACCTATTCATATTAAAATGCTAAGGTAGCCTAGCTAGCAAATTACATCTGTGGTTTATTTTACCAACATGATGCATTAAATTGGAATGTTATTTGCATAAAACATAAATCATAATAGTGATGACATACTAAATGATAGATAGCAGTAATTGTAAAAGATTGTATCGGACTTATTTGTAAAATTTGTATTTTTTTTATTAATATGGTAATTAGATTTTTTATTAGCTATGTATAATAATATTGTGAGAGTAACTATAAATTTACTTCTGGAATTTTATTATAAATTGACTGATGTCTTGAAGAGAAAAGATAAAATATTCTTAATGTGAATTAAAAAAAAAATAGAACTAGAAAAAAGGAATTTAATCATAAGTTTCTGAACCAGAATTTATTTTAGGTAAACCGGAGACATAGCCCCGTCATAATAAAAAAAACAATGTTTAATTTTAAAAATTTGTGGCATAAAGTAAAAGTAGTCTTTTATGATACCTATTAATATTGAAATTTTGTTTACAGGCATATTATAAATAGTTATATAACTCTATGTAAATTATTATATTCTATCATATTAATACTTAAAGCTGGTTGCATAGATATTTTTTTCCACTTTATTCTGTATAAGGGTAGTGCCAATTGTTAAATGACATAGTGACGCTGAGGCGGAAAAACTTATGGCGGGATTCTAGATTTTGAGTTTATATTGCTAATAAATATGCATAAACATTATAGTGTTATAAAAGGAGCTAAGTGATGGGTATTAAATAATCCATTAAAGTTAAGACATACTTGGATTACATATGACTAAATAGTTACACCATATTATAGCGTGCGACATCGTCGAGGTTTAAAATTAGTAGTAATTATATAGTATTTTATTGATTTACTCGTGTTGAGTTAATACGCAAATAATATTCGGTATCGATCGGTATTCAATTAGGGATTATTTCGCATTATCGTAATATAATAGGTATACCATATCGCGTAACGTATTTATAACATAAATTAATTAATGTAACTTACTTTATTGTTAAGAAATATTAGATACATAGCATACAACGAATTTTTGATATAAATTATTATTAAAAAAAATACCTTGCCCGCTGTGATATTTTTCAAAAATCAATTAATCAATTGCTGTCGTTTTGTTCTGTATGTGACTTTTTTAGAGAACAAGCATACCCTTGTTCCTGAAATATAACAGAATAGAAGTAATCTTTATTCAAATAAACTTATTTAAAACTCTTTTAAATTGTCATTTTTTAGAATAGAATACGATACTTTGATTTGAATATGTGATAACAATGAAATATATTTCGACTGCTGGGTTCGGAATGATATTATCTGCTGTTAATATCTGGCTGTAAGTAAAAGTTACTATTTTTTTATTTATATATTAGTATGAGTATTGTAACTACACATAATTAGCGTAGTTATATTTATAATAATATTTATTGAAACCACAAAGACATGTAACAATTATACATTTTGTTACCAAGACTTTTCGTGAAGTCATGGGCCCTCTTCTGCTGCTTACAAATTTTATTAATTAATTTACAAATTTTAGCTAACTATATATACATCTTTACACACATTATTTTTTTATATACATCTCATACACATATACATTTACAAAATTACGTACCAGTACATATTTATATATAAACATAACGCCTAATGTCATATATAAGACTTACAGAAACATATTGGTAAGTACCTATTTTATTTTAATTACAGATCTGTTACTTATTGTGTACTCAGTTGCGATGTAGTCAAGTTTTTTAACTATTGTTTGACCTTTCTTTGGCATCTAGTCACATCATATATTTTGCAGTGATCCTTTACAATGCTGTATAAGAAAGGTCCAGTGTACGAGTAGGACCTTTGAGCATTTTGTGCGCATCTTAAGAGTAATCCATTTGTTTCGCCTTTGGGAACGCTTTTGTTTGGAGACATTTGCAAGAACTGTAATATGGAAACGTAACACAGTATATAGGACATATAATTGCCGGATTCTTAGCACTTCAGTTTCTTTATATAAAGCATAAGCAGGATATCTTTATTCTTTGTTAAAAGCAGTTTTACGATCAATCTGTGTTTGTGTTCGCTCCAGTTTCATAAGAAGTATCTTGGGAATATATTCCCAAGCTACTATGCAGTATGTCAAGATGGGTTCATAAAGAGCGGAATAAAACATTTTTATTGTGCAAAGGTCAGCAATTTTTTTTAGTCTTTTGAAAATAATATTAAACTTAAGAATCTGGGTACATAAAGTTTAAATTTGTTCTTTCCAGCTCAATGTATGGTCAATTACCACTGTGGTATTTTGTATAGACACTCTTTCGATGCTTGGAAAGTCACATGTCATTTGATGTATTGCAAAAATGGATCGGTAAGGTCTAGTAATTAGTATCTTCAGTAGTAAAAAAGAACATATATTTTGTTTCTTTCACACATTCAAAGTAATCAAATTCTGTCGTAACCAATATCTTATTTAAACCTTTGCAAGCCACATCCACAACTTTAT